GAGAAAACAGAATCCCACAAAGGGCTTCACCATGGCTGTCTCAAGCTCCAGATGATCCAAACAGAACTAAGAATCCAATAAAACAGGAGCTCAAAGACAAGCTAATAAATCAACAGAGCAAAATGAAAAGATTTCAGAAATAAGGAAAAAGATTGAGAGTCTACACAGTGCTAATAAATAAGTGAAGGTGTAAAAAGGCACACTAGACATGACTAAAAATTAAATAAGGCACAGAATAAAGGTCTGTGATTATTCCAGTCTATGCAGGAAAAAAATGGAAAAACAACTCACACACTCAAAATAAATGTGCTAGATATGGAAGGCAAAGGTGATAAAACAAAGAATAACTAGTTTCCTGAAATAGAAAATCCAGTAAGAATAGCAGAAAAAATATTCAGAAATACAAATAAAATTTTCCCGGAGATGAAGAAAGGAATAAAACTGGCTTTGGTATTTTCCAAAGTCATGCACAGAACCGGAAGGCAGGGGGAGGGAAGGGAAAAGGTGGAGTGGGCACCACGGTGTATGGTGGAAGATTACGGGTAACTTGGTGATGGAAGAAGGAGGGTGACCACACCTGAGGGGAAAAATTCTTTATTGTGAAAAAAATGAACAAGGATGTAAAATAATGGTAGTTCAATGAAAAGTATATTAAAAACAAACAAACAAAATAACCCAGAAGGCAATGGATGGAGCAGAACTGTGAATGAGTGTGACTAGAATCACACATATCTAGCCATGGTATTTTTCAAAAATAAAGACAGCAGGCAGAAATTCTCAAACTTGAATGAGTTAAAAAATGTAACACTCTCCAGTCCTTGTGATTAAAAACCAATGGACAAGAAATTCTGCCTTCTAGCAGCACTTGTGAACAGAAAAGTCTGGACGTGAGCACTGAACTCACCAACATGTTGAACCTATACAGTATCTGAAGGAATCCTGGGCATAGACTGGAAAATGTTGTACACTCTCACAAGGGAAAAAATAAAACAAACAACAAAACTGGGAGTGGCAGGGAGGGCAGACAGGCATGGATAGAAATGTAAGTACTAACTGCTTCACCTTTCATAGCAGGAAGTCAATTTTTTGTTAACTATATGAAATCAAGTATAAAACTTTCTGGGTCTCCCTGGTGGTGTGGGCGTTAAAGACGCAGTGCTATCAAGCTGTAGCCAGCCACTGCCTCGAGTTTGATCCTTGGCCAGGGAGCTACCCCACATGGTGCAGCAGACCTCTCCTGTCTTGCCCACTGTTCCCCCTCAGCAGAGTATTTCAGTACATACGCCTGTTCTGCTCCCCACTCTGTCTCTGATGAATCCTTTTACCACCCTATACCTCTGGCCTACACCCCAGTTCTTGTATGCATAAAACAGCCTATCCTTTTGAATTATTTCCATTTAGCTAGCTACCAATCTGTCCAAGCTTCTTTTAACTAGATATCTGAGAAGAAAGATGTCTAGTGTAATGGACACCATTTCTGAAAGGTGGGATACTGGGGGAAAAAGGCTGGTTAGGAATCTTTAGAAGGTATGCTTATAAGTGACTGAGATTGTTCTTTTTCTACTTATATATTCTGTGTTTTGAAATATGTCAATAGATATTGAAATGGAATGGCTCTGGTCATAAAGGATAAATAAAGAATAATTGAGAATGGCAAAGAACAAAAAAACTGGAAAAAAAAACCACCACAGAGAAAACCAAGCTTATTTAAAGGCAAAAGAGTGGGAGTAGGAGTTATAGAGAGAAAATGCAGCCTGAGATATAAGGACCCTTGAAATCAACTTCATTTCATAAACCCCATCTAAATAATGACAACTCCCAAATTCATACCTCCATCCCAAACCTTTCTTAATGCCATCCTTAAGTTCAACTACTTATTCAACCTCTCTACTTGAAGGTCTGACAAGTATTTTGCATATAACATGTCCAAAACCAAAAGCAAATTCTTGATCTACCCCCGCCAATCCTGTTCCTCAGCCTTCCCCATTTCACTAAATTCAAGTCAAAAACCTTGACTATCCTCTCATACCCCAATTCCCCACTTCAACCTCATCAAATCCCAATGGTTCTGTTTTCTTTATTTTTTCTTAAAGATTTATTTTATTTATTCATGCACCTAAGATCTGGGGTGTAGACCAGAGGTATAGGGGGAGAGGATTCACCAGAGACAGAGTGGGGAGCAGAACAGGCGGACCTACTGAGATACACTGCAGGAGGGAGTAGAGGGTGAGACAGGAGAGGCCTGCTGTGCCATGTACGTCAGCTCCCTAGCCAGGGATAGAACTCATGGCCAGCAGTGGCTGGTAATTGCTTGATAGTGCTGTGTCTTCAATACCCTGTGCCACCAGGGAGGCCCCAATGGTTCTATTTTCATCAAAACATAATGTAAGTGAAAGCAAAACAAAAATGGATCCAGTCACTTTGCACCACTTTCTGTACCATTAGCCTAGTCTAACTATAACTATGTCTAGACTGGGTGACAATAGTCTTCTAACTGGTTCCCACGTCCCACTCTGACTCCTACATCTGTTCTCCAAACAGCAGCCAGAGTGATCTTTTTAAAGCATAGGTCAGTTCATGTCATTCCTTTGCTCAAAACCTGGATGGTTCCCATCTTATTCAGAATAAAACCCAAAGTCTCTACCATGCCCTATAATGTCCTACAAATCACTTCTGCAGGCTGCTGCTGTAGGACCTCTGGGCTTGTTCTTCCTCCACCCAAAATGCAACTCTACCAGTCACAAAGTGTATTCCCTCACTCCATTCAGATCTCTGTTCCAATAACATCTCTTTTCAGAGAGAACTTCTCTGACCTTTCTAAAATCACATCTCTGCATCTTTTTCCTGCTTTAATGAGAGCAGAGTTTTTTCTTTGTTCACTACTATATACCTAAAGCATCTGACTAAAAAAAGTGCTTTGCTGGGAAACACAGATGGCCACACACACACACATACACACACACACACACACACACACAAGCAAGACACATATTGAACTCCATACAGAGAAATAAATTCAAAATTGATTAAATATTTGGATATAAGAACTGCAACCAAAGTACTTAAAAGAAAATACAGGGGACACACTATAGGTCATCAACCACAAAGATATATTTGGGAATACAACCCCAGCAGCAAAGGAAACAAGCATAAAAATAAACAAGTGGGACAATATCAAACTTAAAAGCTTTTGTATCTCAAAAGAAACCATCACAGAAACAAAAAGGCAACCTAAAGAATGGGGAAAAAATATTTGCATACCATACATCTGACAATAGGTTAGTCTCCAAAATTTACAAAGTACTTACACAACCCAACAACAAAAGACCAAATGACTCTATTAAAAAATGGGCAAACAGGTCTCCCTGGTGGTTCAGGGGTTAAAGACAGCACTATTAAGCTACCCGCTGCCACTGCAGCACAAGCTTGATTCCTGGGCAGGGAGCTGACGCACATGGCGCAGCGGACCTCTCCTGTCTCCACCACTGCTCCCCTCAGAGTGTATTTCAGTGGATGTGCCTGTTCTGCGCCCCACTCTTTCTGGTGAATCCTCTCACCTCCCTGCACCTCTGGCTTACATCCCAGTTCTTGTTTGCATAAATAAATAACCCAAAAAAATGGGCAAAGGATCTCAATAGACACTTCTCTAAAGAAGACATTCAGATGGCCTATAGACATGGAAAAAAGTTCAACATCGCTGATTATAAGAGAAATGCAAATTAAAAACCACACTGAGATACCACTTGACCCCTGTAAGAGAATGGCCCATATAAAAAAGAATGGAATTAACGAAGACTGGCATGGTTGCAGTGAAGAAGGAATTCTCATCCACTGCTGGTAGGAATGCAAGCTAGTATAGTCCCTGTGGAAAATGATACAGAGATTTCTCAAGAAAATAAAAATTCCGTTTGACCCAGAAATACCACTATTAGGTGTCTATCCAAATAACATGAAAATCTACTACAAAAAGATCTATCTACACCTGTGTATTCCACAGCACTGTTTACAATTGCCAAATCATGGGCCCAATTTAAGTGCCCTTTAACAGATGACTGGATAGAGAAACTGTGGAGCAGGTACTCAGTGGAATGCGACAGTACATATGGGACAAAATGGAACAGATCTTGAGGTGATTATGCTGAGTGAGATCAGTCAACAAGTGAAAGTTTTCAGATAGTCTCATCTGCAGAATATAAATACCCAAAAAACAATTACATGAAAACAATACAAGAAATAAAATCTGAACTTGGCAAAAAGAAGATAATGGTTACCAGAGGGAATAGGGGAAAGAGTGGAGGGCTGGGGAAAGGTGGCAAATGGGTTATGGATATGGTGATCTGGTGGAGGGAATAAAAACAAAAGTGCTCAATACTTGTTAAATGAATGAATCATAGAATCTTATTTTTCTCGGACCTCCCTGGTGTCACAAGGGGTTAAGTCTCAGCAATATGAAGCAATCCGCAGCCGCTGCAGCATGAGTTCGATCTCTGGCCAGGGAGCTACCCACATGGCACAGCAGACCTCTCCTGTCTCGCCTGCTGCTCCCCTCAGCAGTGTATTTCGGTAGACCCACCTGTTCTGCTCCCCACTCTGTCTCCAGTGAATCCTTTCAGCCCCCCGCACCTCTGGCCTACAGCCCAGCTTTTGTATGCATAAATAAATCTTAAAAAAATCTTATTTTTCTCAAAACATTGCAAATGATTTCTTTTTTTACTTCTGATAATTGGACTACTCTACTCAGGCAAATATTATTTTTCTTAGTAAGCAATACACAAAAGTTATGAGAAACTCTCTAAGGCCCGGAAGTCAAGATAACTGTAGTTTCTACTGATAGTCAATTTCTCATGTGTATGTTTGGGAGAGGTTAAGTTTTAAAAAGGGCAGGAACAGTCACCAGAATCCACTAACCCAAGTCCCTGTTATACAAAGGAGCCCTCGGGGCTGCCTTACACTGTTATGATAGAATGAAACTGCAGCAAGAAATGGGGACTTAACTGTACCTGTCCCTGTTGGGTCACCTCCCTGGATCATGAAGTCTTTGATGATTCTGTGGAATTTTGTGCCATTGTAGTAACCTCGACGCGCCAACTCAGCAAAGTTCTTACAGGTCTTTGGAGCATGTTTCCAGTACAACTCAAGCACAACGATCCCCATGCTATAGGGGGAGAAGACAGTAGAGCTCTGATCAAGAACAAGGTCACAGCAAAAAGGAGTATTATAGGACTGCTCAAGGTTATGTCATGAAATTGTGATAAACATAAGATTTCATCCTCAGAAAAGGAAAACAATGCAAATAATACACACAGATAGTTTCTTGAGTAAAACATGCAGGCATTTCTGGTACACCTTTAGCAAAATAATCATGAACAATTCAAAAATCTAATACATAATATATATATATATAAAATCACTGATCATCTTAAATCAATATAACCAAGCCAAAATTAGGAAAAAATATCCCACTTAATTTGTAAATTTTTTCTCAAAGGACTTTATGTATATATGCATACCTTTCTGGGTAGGAGTGGAAACCGGGAAGATGGAGGACAGGAAGCTTTTCAATTAATATTTCTAAACTTTTGTATTTCTGAACCAAGAAAATATATTACCTATTTGTAAACATTTTTAAAGGGGGAAAAAAGAGTTTGTGTGTTTAGCAGGTGTAACAAAAGCAAAACCTGATTACTTCAAACCTTTGCACCTACCCCATATGGTGAGTGCTCCCCTCCCCCACCAAGTACTATTAAGAAAAAGTAAAAGCCTTAGTCAAGCAGTTTCCCCTCCACTCCAACACTGTTCTAGACTTGAAGTTCTAAGAATGTGAGAATTGAGTCAACTCTGGATAATATGAACACTGTGCCGAGCACAGGGTAAGTTCTCTATAAATGCCATGTGGCATGTACTAGAACATAGCTTTCTTTAAAAGCTTTCCACTGACATGTCATCCTTCATACTACTAATGTCCAATGTGGATTAACAATTACTCTGTGCAAGGCATGGGTCTAGGTGCTTTTCCCCTTATGGAGCTTATATTTGGTGAATATTTTTTAAATATTGGAACTCACTTTTTGCACTGATGATTTGGAAGTACTTACACAATTCTGAAATTGTGTAGCATTGACTCGGCATATTACAGAAGAAAAATACAGATGGTATGATTATATGGTCCTGTTTTTGTTAAAAAAATAGAACATGAGTGGTTTATATGCACATAGAAAAATATCTGGAAGATCATTCAACAAACTATTGATAATATTTTCATGGGGAGAGGTGGTTTTACTTCTTATTCTATACTCTTTATTGCCTGGATTTATATTTTGATTCATACTGTGATTTTTAAAAAGTTAACAGGTGAGTTCAGAAATTACTTTCAAGTTGGGGCCTGAGGAAGTAACATTTTGCCACATTAAAAGGTGGAGAAAATGGTCAGGGAGCAAAAGCAGCATCTGAGAGAACTGTGCTCTGGTGGAAAGCCTGGACAAGAACAGAAAGAAGACAGACAGCAATGAAGGCTGGATCTTGGTTATTGACGAGGATGTCAGATGTAGCCGGAGGGTAGGCAGTGGTCAGATGAAAACAATTATTTCTTTAGTCTGGAAAGTCAGACTAAGAAATTTTAATTTTATACTGTTGTAGCAGTAAAAAGTTACTTAAGGTTATCTGAAAAGATCACCCTGAACTTTTTCCAGGGGCAATGGAATGAATGACACCCAAGAACCTAGCCTGTAGGGCAGACACACCAGGTTCCATCCAAGTAAAGCTCCCCTACTCTTTAGATATAGGGGTTTGGCCAATTTAATTTGTTCATTTGATCGGTAAATTCTGGCATTTCCCCTGCTAAAACTGGAGAGGTGGAATAACACCTAAAATTTCTGAGTTGCTAAGAGCAATAAACTAAACGAGATGGCTAGACATCAGGGGCACTAGCTGGTTGGCGGTCAATCATATTGTTCTCACACCACTGATAGAGGAGAAAGTGTGCTTCTTCTTGTGTTCTCTCAATAATTTGTTTACACGTTTGTACTGCCTGTCTCGTCAAAATTTACGTGTACTGTAAACTCCAAAGACGAGGTTGTGTGTCCTGTATGTGAAAGACGAGGTTGTGTGTCCTGTATGCATCTCCGTATACTCGCCTAGTAGATCCTACATCCCTGGCCTGGGGGCTCAACACACGCTCGAAGAATGAATGGAAGAAAGAACCCGCGTGGGGGGCAGAGGTAACGGGGAGGCGGACGCTCAAGCCTCCGAGGTCTCAGCGCGAGTCGGTGCGGAGCTGGGGCGCTAGCGGTGGCGGCCCCCACGCAGCCCGCCGCGGCCCCAACGGTCCGGCTCCACGGCTCTCCACGAGGACGCCCGCCTCCCAGGAAGCACGCCCGGAACCGGGTCCCGCGGCCAAGCCCGGGCCCCGCGTCGCCTCCGCAGCCCAGCTCCAGGGGCCAGACCCCCTCACCTGGTCTCCAAGTACACGTTGGGCGGCTGCCAGGAGTCGGGGGGGATGGCCGCCATAGCGAGGCCGGAGGAATCCTGCTCCAGCAAGCGCTACTTCCGGCGCGCTGGGCTGGGGACCCGCCACTGCGACGCACACTTCCGGTCCCCGCGTGGTAGAGCTTTGGGCGCCAGGAAGGGGGGTGGTGGGCGGACAGGGGCGCGCAAGAGTAAGGGTCCAAACTCCAAGGGCCCCAAGCAGGGGTGCAGGGGCAAAAACGAGCTGGCCGTAAGGACGCGGAACTGCGCAAGATCCAACAGGGAGGCTCTCCCGGTGGAGGGTTCCCGCCCTGCTTCCCGGAGATCCGATTGGTTTGTCTAGGCGTGGAAGGCGGGAATTCCCCTTATGTTTACGCTCGGATTGGAGTTCTGTGCTAACGCTCAATTCGAAGAATTTCTGAGTCCCAGAATGGGACAGCAATCGGACGGGTCAGGGAAAGAATGAAAGGGAATAGAAATGAGATGCCTGAAAGTACCTTCTGTACAGTGCTGTACGATTTATATTTACATAGCGCTTACATTTTATTTTCTACTCTACATAACTGCAGATATTATTCTTATTTTTCAGATGTAAACATTGAGACTCAGCAGTTAAATGAGTTATTATTTGTTCACAGCCATACAGCAAATTCGAGCCATCAGACACCACTGACAAAGAATTTGGGAAGAGAGGGAAGAGTGAGCTGGGAAGAAAATGAGGGATAAGAAAGGAAGGAGGCTGGGGAATGAAGATCTAAGGGATCAGGGATAGGGCAAGGCTTAGAGTGATAGGCTGAGATAGAAGGTGCTCCAGGTTTGTTAGAAGGGATTGCTCAGAGTGAAAGGAGAAGCAAAGCAAAGGTGCTGCAAGGAATTTTAGAGGACGTGTAACAGGGTGGTCCCCAGAAAGGGGGGAGGTTCCAGGGTCCTGCCCCACCCAAGGGAGGGTGGAGCTGAGCAGGGAGAGAAGGTGCAGAAGGAACTGAGAAGGAAGGAAGCAGGATGGAGCCAGAAGGAGACCTGGAGGAGGTACATGGAGCAGAGAGACACGTGAAGAAATTGCGCTTGCCTTTTGGTCCTGGACTGGTTGAAACAGGTGTGGGTGAGAGACCGTAGGGAGGTTACAATGGCGGGTTTTGTCTTGATATTGATTTTGCTCTTCTCCTCCCAGACTTGTCTGGTTGTTTCTGATCCTTTTCTGTGGGTCCCCACTGAAAGGTGCTTTAGACTTGTGGCAGGTTTTCAGGCATTGCTGTGCTCCTGTTTGGGTGGAAATTTACCTACAAGGGGATGGGTAACTTTGGGTGCTTGATTTAGAAACTATATTCTTTGCCTTTCCTGTGTTGTTTACTAATTGTATTAAAGTTCCTTTTCATTAAAGTCTCATACGTTTTGTGTTGATGTGGCGGATGGTAGAACCTATTTAGAGCAGGCAGGTTTGTGGGGTCTGGGGTGCCCCTCTCCCTGCCCTGTAACAGAAGGACAAGAAAGAAAGAGGGTAAATAAATTTATATTGTGAATGCATACCATTTAATGATAGCTAAGTAAATGCTTATGTGCTAAAATAAACACTTTATTGTGTGCTTTCATACCTATCTTTAAAACTTCACTAGGTAGATATTACTAATCCCTTTTCACGGGGTGGAAACTGAGCCTTGCAGAGATTAAGTAACATGCTCAAAGTACCATGCTGTGAGCCTGTGCTCCTAACCACAGTTAATCCCCACTAATTTCCTTAAGTGGGAGTGAGGGTATACAAGTTCGCAAAGATCAAGCTGGGAACTGAGCTCCCTATCAAATCCTAAACCAACCACTTTCCCAAGGCTGCCTGGGGAGGTATAGGAAAAGGTACAGGGCAGACAAGATATGAAAGAAGGAACTATGGAGGGAGGGCTGGAGATGGCTCCTTCACATGGGGAAGAGATGAGAAAGACTTAACATTATGTTTGTGAGATAGATCCATGCTCTTGTACGTAGTGCCATTCTTTCATTTTCAGTGCTGTATAGTATTCTGTTGCCTGAATATATTCTGCTGTTACTGGGCATTTGGGATGTGCCCAATTTGTGATGATTACACATAATTGCTTCTATGAATATTCTTGGGGAACTTATGCATGAAGTTTTGGGGGTATATACCTGGATATAGAACTGTTGGATCAAAAGTTATGTTTATAATTTAGTAGTTAATGCCTGTTTCTCAAAGTGGCTGTAGCAATTTACACTCCTACCAGCAGTGTGTAAATTGATAATGCTCTGCTTCCTCACCAACACTTAGAACTGTCTTTTTCATTTTAGTAATTCTGGACCCTGTATAATGATATCTCCATAGTTATTCCTCTAATAACTAATGATTAATAAAGTTAAACATGTTTTCATGACTGAACCTGTCATTTATATACCCTCTTTTGTGATATAGTCTTTTTGTGTTCAAATCTGCCTATTTTTCTGGTTGACTGTCTTTCATATTTATGGAGTTCTTTGTACTGGACAAATTTTTGTTGGTTTCTGTCACTTTATAGGTTATCTTTTTGTTCTCTCAATCCTGTCTTTTGATGATCAGTTTTCTAATTTTAATGTAGTACAAAGTATCATTTTACTCTTCCAGAGCCTCAACTGACTAGTCACATTTCAAGTGCTCACTAGTCACTTTGCATGGTAATGGTACTGGAAAGAGCACTCTGGTTGTTTTTCTCATATAGATCTATAATGCATATACAATCTATTTTACTGTGTGGTGTGAAGTACAAGTGAAGTTTCGTGTTTTTCCTATATGGATGTACACCCGACCAAGCACTGTTCATTGAAAACATTATCCTTTCCTCAGTCCCCTGTTGGGTCTTTGTAGCTGTATTTTTATTAGTCTGACCCCAGTACGATTTTGTTTGCAGATATCATATAGAAAGCAGTTAAGAGCTTTGGCACTAAAGACAGGGCTAGATAAGGAGCCTAGGTTCAAATCGTGAACCCACCGTGCTGTGTAATCTGAAGCAAGGTAACCTTTCCATAAACCTCAGCTCGGTTGGTATGAGGATGATTGTTGTGGGGTTGTTCACATCATGAGATTGTAGAAGCAATGTCCCACTATAAAGTGCTTATATATCTGTCACAGAGAACGCTCTCTATAAATACTGAGTGGGCCGTGTATAGATCTGAGTAATTTATTTGATCGTCTGCCTTTTAGACTTGCAGCTCTAGAGGTTAGGGTGTGTCCTCCAGTTACGTATCCCTCCCACTCCCACCCTTGAATGTCCATCACACTGCCTGACACGTAGTAATGGACTCAATAAATGCTTGTTGAACGAGTCAGTTCAGCCACAAAATCTCTGTCAGTCAAGGGGCAGTAGAGACCCTGGCTAGGGCTGAGGACTGACGAAGCAGAGCAGACACCAGAGGGAGCAAGAGCCCATCTTCCTAGATCTCGCGAGAGCTTCCGCGAACGAGCGCGCGCGCGCCGCGACGTCAAGCGGTCTGTTTTTGACGGAAGTGCAAGGCGGGAAGAAGGCGCTAAGCCCCTCGGGCGCTGGGCCTCGCTCGTGGCGTGGGAGTGGCTTCCGGGTTGCGCTCCCGGAAGTAGGAAGTTGGCTTGCCCTCCTCGCCCGGCGGCTGCGGTCTCCGAGGCGGGAGGAGCCCGAGGGGGCGCGGGCCCCGCATGTGAGTGACTGGGGCCCGAGGCCGGGTGGGGGGAGGCCGCTTCCGTGACGTCTTCGCGCGGCACCTCCCTCGCCGCCACCGCCTCCTCCTGCCTCTGCGCTGACCCCTTTCCGAGCCTCCGGCGTTTAGCAGACTGACGCCGTCCCCCGGCCGCCCCCCGCGTGGACTCCCTTAAGACAGCTCTTTTTCCTTGGCTCTGGCCGGGGGAGCTTAGCGAGGTCGTCTCTGCTTGAACCTGGTTAGCAGGCGTCACAGCATTTTCAAAGCACGCGCGGTGCCAGGGTGGTCTAGATTGCACTGCCCTTTTGCTGATGTTTATCTTTTAACATTGATATATTTTCCCCGACCCCCGAAACAGCTTTTGAGGGAGTTTATTGGGGGTTTTTGTTTGTTTGCTTGCTTTTTAGTGTGGACTTGGTATGTGGTAACCATGGCATCTTGGTTTTCAGAAAGACTTATTTATTGAATCGAGTAAATGAGCTGTGTGTAATCGCCCATTAGTACAAAGAAATTCACCTACCTCCTGTGTCATAGTATTTTAAGACCATTAGCTCTTCAGGCTACACTTTTGCTGGTGCACCCAAGGTAACTTTGTATTCGCAAATGTTAGTTATCGCCTTGTAGCAGAGACTGCTGCAGATACTTAGTATCCTGAATTTTTTCTAGTTGCGTATTTCTCTGTTCCCATGGCGGAATCTTCTGTGGACATCTCTCCTTTAATAAATTTGCTTATTTGAACTCGAGTGACCACAACCTCCTTCTAAAAAACAACTTTGAAGTTTTGATTTAAGAGCCCCTGTTTGCCCAGTTAGGCCTTTCTTTTAATCAAAACAATTTATAAGACGCAATTTGAACACCTGTTCTTCCACAGCTACTCTTCGACATCACAGAATGTCCCAAGTGTGAGATTCTTAACCTCACCTAACCTCTGATTTAGGCTGATGTACTTTTAAAAAGAAGAAAAGGTAAAATGAACAAATCATTAGTTACATTAAGTTAGTTTGGGAACACAACACTCACGTTATATCCTTTCTATAAATTTGTTTAAGAGACTGATTAGGTTTCATGTCACAACTGAATGTCCATGTCTGTTGCTACTCTCTCCACTTATCTTTGCTTCAAGAAACGGTTTTGTTTGGATGACAGGGAAATAGCTGTAATACAAAGCAATAGTTATGCTTAACTTTTTTTTTTTAAGATTTATTTATTTATTTATACAAGCACTGGGTACAGTCAGAAGCGCTGGAGGGTGAGAGAATTCACCAGAGCCAGAGCGGGGAGCAGAGCAGGCAGAAGGACCGAAGCACACTGCTGAGGAGAGCAGCGGGCGGCAGGAGAGGTCTGCGGGCCATGTGGGACCCTCCTTCAGTGGCCAGGGAGCAGCCAGGGAGCAGCCGGGGATCGAACCGGTGCTGCAGAGGCTGCGGGCAGCTTCGCAACCCAGTGCTCAACCGCTGTGCCACCAGGGAGGCCCTATGCTTAACTCTTAAAGGGCAAAAATCAAGGTTGGAGTCATGAAAGTACTTATTCTTTGGACAGAGCCCTGGGAGGTAGAATTTTTAGGGGGAGGAAATTATATGTACAAAACCAGAAAGATGTGCAAGAGTATGACATTGAAAAATTGGAAGAAGAAATGGGAAATGAGAGTGAACAAGTAGGGAGTGATCAGTTTGTCAAGGACTATGCTAAGTTGGATTTTCATTCCAATAAGCTACATGCCTATGGTTATGTAGGTATTGGGGTAACTGCTTTACATATATTATTCTACAATCCCTTAACAATATTGTTAGAAAAACACAATTATCTCCATTGTATAAATTAAAACTCTGAGGTTGTGTCTCATGAGCACACAATAGATGAAGAAGCTAGTATTTGCATCCAGCTTTTTCCAACTCCAGTGCCTGTGTCCTCAGCCATCATGCTAAACTGTCCCCAGCAGGGGATGGGGAGTCAAGTAAGGTGCTTTAATATATGAGTAATGTGAGTAATGTGAACCAGTTCGTATTTCAGAAAAATAATTTATGGAGAGGGTAGAGGGTGGATCAGAGAAGAGAAGGAGGTTTGGAAGTATAGAAATCAACTATGTCTTGTAATAGTCTGTGGGAGAGATATTGAGCCTTGTCTGATAAAGCTAAAGAGGAGACCTATGTAGGAGGTAGAAATGAAGATTTAGTGGCAAGTTCATTGATGGGGATGAGGAATGAGGAGCAAAGTTTTTAAATTTGAAGGACTTCCACTAATGGAGAAAAAGAATATAGTAGGAGAAATGGGTTGTGGGGGAAACAGTATGTGGTAATGGATACATCACATATAGGCAACCCAGGAAGTTTGGGCCAGGGTGTATCGTAGGTAGCTAGATGGGTATGAACTCTAGTGAAAGGTCTAGATCAGAGCAGAGATTTGGGGATCACTAATAGCTGGTGGCTAAGCCATGGAGGAAATGAG